AAATTACTCCTCTCTTAAAAAGAAACATTACTTGTTGAAAATTAAATTAAATTAAATTTTAGAAACTCAAAAAGGAAAATGTTGATTGTGATTCATTGATTAAAGAAAGTTCTTCTTTGAAAGAAAAAGTTGAAGATTAAACTAAGATTATTTGTAAATTTACTCGAAGTAAGAAGAATTTTGATTTAATACTTGATGATCAAAAGTGTGCTTTTGATAAAGAATGAATTGGATATAAACCATTCTTAAAACAAAAAATTTTCAAAAATTTATTTGTCAAAGCTTCGAACACTTCTCTTTCAAACACTAGATGTAGCTTTTGCAATAAAAATGGATATATTGCTTATAATTGTCTAACTAAAAAGAAGCTATACTTTGAAGTGGATTTGAGAGTCCACTAAAACTAACTACCAAGGATCCAAACTTGTATGGGTACCAAAGATAAAAAATTAATTATTTTTTGTAGGTACATAAGAAGATGAAAATAGTTCTTGAATAGTGGATGCTCAAAACATATGACATGAGATAGAATGTTACTATCAAATTTCAAAAGAATGATGGATGTCATGTCACATTCGGGGATAACGCAAAAAAAAAAAAAATTATTGGAATTGGAAACATTGGTAATCATTCTTCTCCTTCAATTGAAAATGTTTTATTGGATAAAGATAAAATTTTGTGATGCTTGTCAATTTGGTAAACAAGTGAAAAGATCTTTTAAACCTGAACTATACTATTCGACTACAAAACCACTATAACTACTCCACATAGATCTTTTTGGACCTTGTAGAACTACTAGCTTGGATGGAAAATATTATGCTTTCGTCATTGTCGATGACTTTTCTAGATTCATTTTGGTTATATTCTTAAATCTTTAAGATGAAGCTTTGAATGTATTCAAACATTTTTGCAAAAATGTTCAAAATGGAAAATGATACTTCATTACAACTATTAGGAGTGATCAAAATGACCAGACATTTGTCGGGAAAGAAATGCACGAGTATTTTTCACAATATCTGGAAATTATGCCTTGCTGTGGAAAATACAAAAATATAGTAAACTTACCAGGTTCTAAACCATTCTCTGCATCTTTTGAATTATATACGTTGTTATCAAAATCGCAAATATGCGACCATAGCATAGCAGAAGAAAGATTAGGATAATTTCAAGAACTTGCCTGATTAAATAAAACATTGAAATAAGACCTAAAAATGATTCATCGAAGAAGTATAGTGAAATCAGAAACAAAAGTGAAGAATTGATGGCACTTAAAAGGTTTTGGGGGAGATAAGAGGTTTCTCCCTAAAATTTACAAGGAACCAAATGTCAAAATACAAATTCTTTAATTAAGAAAAATGAAAGCAAGTGATAAAATAGCACAATATATATTCACAGAGACCGTTTCACGGTTGTTAAATTCCAAGGAACTTATCAACTGAAACGTCGCGCAATCTTAGCCGCTAAATACCAAATGACGCAAAGCAAATGACCGTAAACCAATCATATAGCGCATGCGTAGAATAAAGAAAGTCAAAAGAACATTTCCCGAAATTATGCATGAATCAGCATGAAAGATTAAAAACATTCCATTTAGCCCAAACAGCATAAATTATTGGGCCAAGTCTTTAGGGAAGTTCGCAATCTTAAAAATTGAACAATTAAAGTCTTAAATTTAATACAAATAATAAAATCAGACTTTATGAACTATTTAATGAATATATTCCACGAACCTCGTCCAATACTAGTGAAGTGAAAGCCATATGCGAAGAAGTTTCAAAAGGCTCGCGCCAACTAAGACGAACCTATCCCTATTCAGATTGGCTATAGGCTATTAATAAAATAGCAAGTGGAGCAACGAATAAAACGTGATACACTTAACAAAAATCAGTTACAACTTAGCCAATAAGGGGTCGCCATCTGTCGCTCTCCTAAATGACCAAATTACCTTTAAGTTTGGAGCGAAACCTATAAATACCCGCACTTTTGAAGAGAAAGGCATGCAATTCAAAATTTTCCCTCTCAAATAGTTATTTTTTCTCTCACTCCAAGTTTGTACATCGAAACTAGTGGATTTAGGATGAGAAAATCATACTTAGTTGATTCAGTTTTTACCATCAATAGTTTTCAATAAACATTAACTTCATGCCCAAATAAGAGAATATATCGGTTCTTTAAATTTTTTGAAATACAGCACTTAAGTTTAGAAATCCGCTTTTAGTTCTGGCTAGTCTCGCCTGGTATATAAATGTTAGTGTATGAGTTAAAATAGTTAGATGCCTTGGAGGATTGAACTTGTCTCTTTAAATGGTCATCTAATATGTTAGTGACACAATAGCATGTCCCCAATTCATAGCAAACTCTTTTTTTTTTTGTTTTTTTACACCAAATTCCTTGAACCTGCTTTCTCCCTCGAAAGAAGGGGGAGTTTGTATAGTTAAAAATTAATCAGGAAATTTATTAAGAGCGACTTGCCCTCTAACAATATTCGTTGATTGGATGGATTATATTTTAGCATTTTTTTTCATTTGCTCAATGATATTTCGAGATGTCAAAATTGTATAGGAGAAACATGTAAAAAGACAATAACTCTGGGTCAGTAGACTTCAACTCGCCTTGTGCGTAGTTTATTTTTGGAGGATTGTGTTCGTGTATTGTAATTTGTGCATGGGGGCTTTTAAGTTACCTTCGACGACTCCTATATTTTTGAATTTATTTGTTAATTAATGGGTTGAGATAATGTGTATGATGTTTCCGTAAAAAAGAAAATGAAAGATAAAATATCTCTACATATATTCCTAAAACAAAGAAAACTGAGAGAAATTTGCGAACTGGATGAGAGTTTTAAAAACAATTGAAATAGAAGAGAAATTGGAGATTATCTAAGTTTCAAGAAAGTCCATTGGCTTACAATAAATCGTATGTTTAAGACTTTATTCCAAGTTCTTTAATTTTCTTTCAACTTTAATTGTTCCACAAAATATATTATGCATAAACTTAATTAATTTATTAACTAAAATTCAAAATAATTTATTCGATTAACACATCTAAAAACCATTATTTCTTTGACATTGAGATAGTCGACAATGTTGAATGTGAAATTGCTTCCAACTTCACCAAACCCGGAAAGAGATGGTTTTTAGTGCATGTAATTGAAACGATTATAAAATAAGTCTAAATAGTTCATATACTTCATATTTTGTCACATTGTTGACACACTAAAAGTGTAACCCAAATTAAATGGCCCAAAGAACGAAGCCCAGTTGAGAATCCGAGATGAAAGCCCAAACAAAGGGGAAGCAGCCCACAAAATAAAGGAACATTGTCGCCCAAACTTGCAGAACGCTCAGATGTTGAGCGAGTAAAATGCCTTATGGACACCCAGCACGAAGGAGTCGTCGCCAAAATTGCTGAATCATCCAGAATCATAA